AAAGTTTTGTAAGCCAAGAAATTCTTTCATCTCCTAAGCATTTCCATACCTTTATTTGAATATCATCATGTTCAATAGTTTTTACACACTTCCTTTTCTTTAAATACTCTCTAACATCATTTTTACTAATATGTTGATAAAAATAAAAATCTTTGTTTTTATTTTGGATTCTAAGGTCACTAAACTCAGTCGTATTCTCACAATCTTAACTGAAAAATTTAGTAAAATATCTCATCAACCTTCGTTGAATATCCTATTCTAATAAAAACACTTTATATTCATCTTTAATGCACTTCACTTGAACTAAATTTGTACTGCTCATATCTCTTTATTTGTCTATATGTACATATATATATATAAAATATAAATCATCAAAAGTTAAAATCTTTGAATTGCGTATTACTTTCTTAAACTCCTTAAGGATCTCTTTATATATTTTTCAATTATCATAGTTTAACATCTTAACCAATAATTATAGTAAAGTTTCTTATTTTTTATCTTTTTTTGCACATTTTGATTCGACCACAAACTATTTTTACTATTATGAATTTTTTCCTTTAATACTCCAAGCATATCATTTGTAACATTCTTAATATCACTAGTTATTTTTCTCTACATAACATTAGTTTTCTCATCAACAGTTAAAATCTTAATCTCTTGAATCTTACTATCAAAAATAGTTTGTTAGTGCTCTTTAAATGCCTCCATCTATTTATGAGATAATATTTTACTTCATTTTTTATATTTGGTCCTTCATCTTAAACTTCAAAATTAATAAGCGATATTGAGTATATAAATTTGCACTCAAAATAATTTTACAATCTTTGTGGTCTAAATGATTTATTTTGTTAAAAAAAAAAAATCAATCTGAGCTTTATTATATATATTCTTATAAGTGATGAGGTGTTCATTTCTTTTCTTAAATAAGGTATTAACAATAAAAAAATCATAAGTTAAATTAAAATCTAATGTGGTCCTATCAACTTCATTGGTCACTCCAAATACATATATACTCATCATGAATGATTTTAAAATCATCTATCTCTTTATCAACTAATAGAATTGAAATAAAATTATAGCGTTTAATAAGATTATTATTAAGGCTAATATTAATATTATTTAAGTGCTTATGCTACTACAAAAAGATTTGGGGTATGTTTCAAAATTAAAATTTTAAAAATTAATATAAAAAGACATCTCTTGAATAAAGAGTTTTTATTGGAGTATATTTAACACTACAGGAAAAACGTCATTTTCCGGCGACCATTTCCGATGGAAAAATGACCAAAATACGTCGGAAATTAGCATTTCTGGCGGAATTTTTTCTGGCAGGTTACACGCGAGTCGGAAAATGACTTCCGGCGTTAAAAATGCAACGGAAATATTTCCGGCGCATTTCCGACGAAAAATTCACCGCAAATATAAATTCCGCGATTTGTTTTTGCAGCCGGAAAAAAAAATCGAAAAAAAAAATGTGCAGACAGCTCAACGGCCGGCCCAAGCAGCTATCAGCCGCAGCCCCCTCCAGACGAAACGCAGAGCCCGCCGCCGCCCTTAAACCGTCTGCAGCCCGCCCGCGGTTCAACCAAACGACTCAAGCTAGCCCCCCATGCCGAGTCACAAACGCATAAGCAGGGGGTTCGATACACCCGACCTCTCAACCAGCTGAGGTCCTCAACCACTCAGCCACAAAGGAAAACATGCTATATTTAACTCTTATTATTTAAAGTATAACGTTAAATTTTAAAAAGTAAATGTTTTTTTAAAGCAAGAACATTTTTTTAAAATTAATTAATTTAATTTAATAATAAAATAAAGAATTAGTTAAAATGTCGTCGGAAAAATATTTATTTTCAAAAATTAATTTAACAATACGTTATTTAAATTATTTAACTTAATTTAACTAAAAAATCTAAATTATTATTAATAATTTTTTTAAATTTTTAATTTCGCTTGGAAATCCGGTCGGAAATGTCGTGAAACTCTGCCGGAAAATACTCGATCGGCAAATTCGTCGGAAAATTCTGTCGAAAAAAATAGTCAGAAAAATTTTGACCTTAATCCGCGGAAATGCGCCGGAAAAACCGCCGGAAACAATTCCGCTGGAACTTCCGCCGGAAATTTCTCCGGTAATGGACAGTTTTCCTGTAGTGTAAATGGATCTGTTGATATT